AGAGGGAGAAACTACATTGAAACATACACATGCAGAGAATTAACAGAAAAACCAAAAGGAGAAAAGCCCGGGGGAGAGAAAGAGACAGACAGAGATGGAGAGAAGCTGCCTGGAACACAGGCCCCTGAAAAGCTATGTGTTGTACTAAGAATGAAGAGAGACTTGAACATTTACAACCAGTACTGCACACAGTAGGTAAGAGTGTGCCCCATAACACAGCAATAGACGGGTCCAAGAGCAGTAGCACAAGAGAAGGGTAGGTGCAAGATCACATCCATCTCAGGGACAGGAGCTGTAAGAAGGCCCACCCAGCTAGTCACCTGGCACATTACCCAGGGCTGATAAAAGGCGGGTGATGATGGTGCTGGGTAACAGTCCGCTTCGTGAACAGTCTCGGGACTCAAGCATCATCTCACACAGAAGCTATTTCTCTAAGTGGTCAAGAGGAAAGAGAGAACTCAAAAGACTCACCTCAAAAAAGGGAAAGAATTAAAACCGCCTGAATCAAAGTCAACCAACATTTACAGAGTCCTTTGTATGCGCTTGGCTCTGCGTTAGGTGTTGAAAGTAGACAGAAAAATAAAACAAGGAGTGTGACTTCAAGCTGCTCACAGACTCAAGGCAGGAGCCCCGCAGGTTTGACAGAGGGTCAGACTTCGGGGGCTTTAGCCTAATTGTTCTGGGAGCAGTGTGAAGGTGAACTGAAGAGGAGAAGGGAATTAATTACTCTGTGACACTTTCCTTGCCACCTCCCCTCCTCCAGCAGAGTCACTAGGGTGCCAAGTAATGTTTGAGAAGAGAAAATCAGAGAATAATTTGTGACTTGGGTGGCAAGCAATAATGGATACCAATATATTAATAACTTTACGAGAAGAAAAAGCCTGGGATTGTGCGAATGAGTGACAGCAATTCTTCACTTAACTCCTGGGATTTCTAATTAATTTGGCTTACTGTTTAATGTCAATTTTTAGCCCAATTTTGACAGCAGGCTTTCTAAATATATTTATACATTTTGTCTTCTTAAGCAAAGCAAGAGCAGCCTATTTTTATAAATGTAGATTCTGGATAGCTGAGATGGCCAGAATAACCACTCTGGATAGTATACTACAATATCTATTTATCACTTTAAAATAAGACATAGTAGCTTGATTTTTTCATTACAAAAATGTATACACTGTAGAAATATCCTCTTCCCAAAAGAAATGTAAAGTACTACTGTCAAGGAGAAACAGAGTGCCCTTAGGAAAGTGATAATTTAGAAACAGCAATTCACTGTTACCATAGCAAGTCTTGTTCATGTTTTTGTAACAATTATCAAATTGCATTTCTCTCAAATATACACAGTATGGTGAAACAATGAGATTGCTTGTTTAAGAAAAAATATCAAGACAAGTCAAGCTTAATGAATGACTTAGCCTAAGTTACATGTGATGCACAAAGAAGCATCATAGCAGCACTATCAGGAGGGACCATGGGAACAAAAGAATATGGAAATTCATCATCTCTCAAGCCTCCTACCAGCAGCATCAGATTATAGATGATTCGATGGAGGCTGGTCTAATGTTTAACATCCTCTAATTTTAACTGTGCCTCTAATTTTTTTAGAACAACTGTTTTCAGGTTTCTACACACATACCCAGGTCTACTCAAACTGATTATCAAAAAGAAGCGGTACGTTGTGAACATCACCTACACCACATATGGACTCAGTTTTGATCTGACCTACCTAATTTTCACAGAACTCTGTTAGTTTGCAATTGACTTTTAAACTGTCACCACTTCATTAAGCAATGAACAAGAGGAAAAACAATTTCTTCTGTAATCCATATTCTCATAATTTAGACACTATTCTCATGGCTTGTTAAAGACACCTGAAAACTGTCAATGCTGGTAACTAAAATACGTGGTACCTGCGCTCCCAGGTTAATGTATAAGAGATCCTGTCTACAGTCACATGGAGAGAGAATGCACCAAAGTTTATCAGCAAAGTAAGTGGAAGGGAGACACCTGACCAGTCACACCGAAGTTAGAGGACATGACCGGTAAACACTGCTAACATTAACAAGTCCTTGTTCTAGATGCTTTTGATGTTTTACCCCAGTTACTGATCACAGTAACCCTATGAGGGAGGTGCTTTTCCAAGCCCTATTTTACAGATGAGGAAACCAAGGCGCAAAGAGGTCAAAGTCACATGGCCAGAAGTGACATTAATCAAGATACCCTATTTCCAAAGTCTACCCTCTTAGTCACTAATGTTAACACTCTCATTTTATAATTAAGGCAATGGATGTAAAGTGTGCTTATAAAAGAAAAAGTATTTATAGCTTTAAAATAGTTTTTTAAATTGTTTTAAAATAATTATTTTCACCATTGGACACAGTAACAATGAAACCTTGATATAACCCTGCCAACAGGGTCCAAATAGTGAAACCACATAGAGTTGGGAGAACCAACCCAAGGCCCTCTGTGACTTCTGGCAACAAACCCCACAGATGGGCTCTCTGACAGGCTGGTCTTATTCTAAATTCAGTGTGTTACAGTGATGCACCATTTAATTCTACTGATGGAGAACTTGGTAGGTAGTTCTATGAAGCACACATAAGTGCCCCTAACATCTGGATTCTGGGCAGTCTTTCTGGGCAGCTGAGAATACAAAGTCCACATTACTATTTTTAAAAAGTCCTTACTTTCAGACAGGTCTCCTAATAAGACTTGATATATGTTATAATTCTCCCCCTAAATTTTTATTACATATGACGCAGAAAGATAAAAGGATTAGCAAAGTTGGCACATCCTTTTAATGTCTGGCTACCATTACACTTTTGAGGTAGCATAAAGAATTGTTCCTCCACTCCTATCTTTTCACCCTGAAAAAAGTAAGGTGGCACAGAGATGAAAAATATGAGCTGTGGAATCAGAATCCATGTAGGTCTAGATCTTGGCTCCTGTTACTGGCTGACCAGCACCAAACAAGCTCCTTACCTTTTCTAAGCTGCTGTTTTTTCATCTGTAGAATGGGAGCCACCCCTGCTTGAAAGGCTGTTTATGAAAACTGAGTGAGATAGCGCATATAATTGCTAAGCAAAGTGTCTGCTATGTGATTCAATAGCAACAAAAGAGGAGACAGGGAAAGACCTCATGTCAGAAGAGTGCAATGGAAGACTTATGAGGTACCTCCTGATCTAAGGGATTTTTTTTTTTTTTACATATTTAATATAAATGCTGAACTTGAAAGAAACCATTACAAATAATGACAACTCATATTTTTCCTTATCAAACAATTTCTCTTGAGAAAGGTCTAGCAGGAGGAAGAATGCTCAATGTTTATCCAGAATTTCTCTGAAATATCAGATCTCCAGTTAGAAAAAATAAGAGTAAAAACAAACCAAAATACTTACCAAGTTTCAAATGCTGGTTGTCTTTTTGAGTGGTTGGTTCCAGAACTGCTGTCTGATGGCAGAGAAGAAACTCTGCTTGACACATTATTATCATGGAAAGAATTATCTGGGCGTGGAGATGGCACTAAATAAAAAAAGTCACTGATGTACTCTTTTGGTCAAAGCAGTTTTCAAGTTATTCTATTGCATTTTTTTCTGACATAAATAAAATATAAACAGATAAGTCAAAATCCTCATCTGCCCTCTAGGTAACTTTTGTGTTTTCTGAGGGTGGAGGCATTCCAGGGAACATTCTCCCTACTCCCACTGCTTACAAGAGCAACTTGCGGGAGGGTCAGTTAACAACAGGAAATAGCCCGGCCGGGCGTGGCTCAGCGGTTGGGTGTGGACCTAGGATCCTGGAAATCGGGGTTTGATTCCCGGTCACAGCACATGCCCGGGTTGCAGGCTCGATCCCCAGCAGGAGGAGTACAGGAGGCAGCCGATCAATGACTCTCGTCATTGATGTTTCTATCTCTCTCTCCCTTCTTCTCTCTGAAATCAATAAAACTTATTAAAAAAACAAACAAAAACAAAACAACAGGCAATATATATCATATCACTGGGCAATATCAACTGACCTGTCAGCTGTTAAACTGAAAAATATTGTTGGCTATTTAAAGGTATGAATATGACAGCCCTCCTTCACTGTTTTGGCATTCTTTGAAGTTGAAGCTTTTTTACATCATAGCCCCAACTATGCAAAACCTATTCTTAGTCTGAAGTGATTCTTTTTGTTTGTTTGTTTTTGTTTCTTTAAATCCTCATCCAAGGATATTTTTTCCATTGCTTTTCGGAGAGAGTGGGGAGGGCGGTGGAGAAAGAGACAGACACATACACACACACACATCGACTGGTTACCTCCTGCATTTAGTGATTCTTAACAGAATATGTGCTGGAACATACAAACTACCGTTTAAGCCTTGATACGTGGGAGGCAGCATCAATTTTATATTTTTTAAACTAAATCCCAAAGAAATTAGGTTACTTGCACCAGAATACAATTTTTTCTTTAAGTTCTCAATCCAGGAATAAACAGAAAGATAAACCAAATTGTATTTGAGTAAATACTGCTGATTTCTAGGTGAGGGTTACTATTTTTTTCTGTCAATTTCTAAGCTTGATCATATATCAAAATATATTGCAAATTTCATCACAAAAGGAATATGCAGGCTGTATATCAAGATAAATGACACCATTTCACTTGACTCATGACCAGTAGGACTGAAAAGGGAAAGTATTCTGGAAACATCTGTCATTTCAGTGATACCACTAAATCTTCATCCAGTTAGATTTAGTAGCATCATTGAAATGGCAGCTGTCTCCAGATGTTCACCTAGTCAAATCCTTTCTTTCTATTTGTAGACTTTCTAAACTAAAAATGTTCTGCCTGCCAAGCCCTGAAGTGGATTATCAGAAAGATAAGTGAGGGGCTTTGCTGATATTAACTGATTTAGTTTACTTACAATAAAAATAAAACTGTGGTTCTGGATTAATTAGAATTTTGTTAACATTCCACAGACAGACATCTATAGAAATAACATATGCATGGTCCATTTTAGGAGTAAAACTTATAGTGATAAAGAAAAAAAAGCTTTTGCTAACATATACTACAAGATTTTGTTTCAATTCACTTTAACGTGAATTAAAACTTTAGTTCCATAAGATTCTAAAGAATCATGGTATGAAAAAAAGGGCATTAAAAGGTATATTTCATGCCTTATGCTTTTCCTAAAGGTGGGGCTGGGAGGGAACAGAGTAGCCTAGTCATTCAATATACATTTAGTCCTGAATAACACTTGTATGTATTTATTTAGCTTGGGTTCCTGGTTAAAATGACCAAGCAGCTGTCCATTCCCCCCCCACTCCCCAATTCCTGCCCCTTTCCAGCTGTCCTCTCAAATTAACACCATAGTGAGAAGCCAGGCAATGCGGATGTGGGCACTGGTAGAAGGTTTTGAAAAGTTAAGCCTCCCAGACCCACGACCTTGCCCCACCCTGGTGGGCTTGCTATCTTTCTCCTTACTACAGGCTGGGGCTCCCCAGGGCTCCCAGCCACTCTGTTACTACACAGCTCCTCAAAGGGGATGCCTTTCTCTGTCAACATCTCCCAAATCCATATGGCTCCCAAAGCATCTGTTTTAGATGCCTATTAAATATCTAAGTACATTTTTAAGGCTGTGCAAGTACATTTGAAGGTTTTCTTTCATTCAATCAACAAATTTTAATGAAACTGCCAGGCTGTATGCTAGTCAATGAGGGTGAAAGAGGAAAAGGTAAAGGGCCGCACAGCCTTGTGAGAGAGACATGCAGACAAAGAATCAGTACCGTGTGCTCTGTGTCATGTCAGAGGAAAAAACAAAGAACCACGGGTGGAACAGGGGAGGAGACACTTCAATTTGTCTGAGTGAGCAGGGAAGACATCACACTGCAGAGGACCTCATAGTAGAACCTTAAAAGGGACAGAAACAAGCTATCCACGCAGGGGGAAGAGTGAGTTTCAGGCCAGGGGAAGGTGTGGCCTGTGTGAGTCCCACGGGCTGGACACCAGAGAGGAAGAGGAACAGCTGGAAAGGATGGCAGAACCAGAGCATGGAAAGTCTGGAATGCCATCCTAGGGAATTCAGATTTTGTCCTGATGCCAATGGGAAGCCGCCAGAGGACTCTCAGCAGGTGAGACATAGAGGACTATGGGTGAGGTGGTGGGAGGCAATGGGTTGCCTTGCTCTATTTTTCCCCCTGTAGCGTTTATTACCTTTTAATGCTCTATATAATTATTGCATTTAGTGCTGCTCTCTTCCCATGAGGATGTGAGCTCTGTGAGGTTAAAGACCTTCAACTGGCAATATTCACTGCCATGTTCTAAACTAGAACAGTGCCAGGCACACAGGGTGACCTCGATAAGTATTTTACTACTTAATTGAATCAATGAGTGGTGTGGTCAGAATACAGCTTCAGAAGGGTCATTCCAGACACTGTTTTGATGGTGACCTTGGAAATAGGAAGACTACTCAAAGAAGCCAAGTCAGAAGCCTCGAGGATCTGAAAACAGCAGGATCCGAAGCCGGGAGAAGCGCTGGAAGGTGACAGCACAGGTGAATCACACTGACGTGAAGCCAGGGCAGTAAAATGTAGTCAGGGGGTGTAGTGAGGGGCAGAGGAGAGAAGACCCTGTTGGGTGTCAGGGGCCAGGCTTACCTCGGTAGAAGCTGCCAACTCTCCTCGGAACGGGATCATTGTACAGATGTCTATTTTCTTTGGGGACAGTGCCATCATCAGAGTGGGGGTCATGATATGCTCCACCCTGAGAAAGGAAACAAGTTTATATAAAGTGAATAGCCTGTAAAATTAGAATAGTACCTCTTGATTTATAATTTACTCCAGGATCATTTAAAGAGAGAACTCAGAATTATGGCATGAGGAAAACTACTTTATAAGCCAGTTCAAATTATTTGTGGAGGATGGGTATGGATAAACTTTAAAAGATGGGCTGTAATGATGTTGAACAACCAATCTTTACAGACAGGTTTTATCATACAAGGCAGCAACTCTGGAGAACTCAGACCTCAGATTTCTGCCGTGTGTGGAAAGCAGAGGTGCCTTCTCTGGAGGGTTCTTTCACAGAAGATCTCGCCACAGTCATCTCTGGAGGGAGCTGTTCCCCAGGCTGAAAGTCAAATTGAAAAGCATTAATAGAAGTGTCCTTATAAATGATGAAAATCACCTAAATTGCCATGGGCTTTATTTGGTATAACTAGTACCTTAAATGACTAAAAGAAAAAATATTAGTTGGCTAAAACATAAATTGTCCTGTAAAACAGTGAGTCATCTGATGAATGTAAAATAAGTAAAACAACTGTCACACAGATGGAAAGTGAAATTCTCATTAAAGTTAAGGCAAGCAGGGAATGAATTACCCTGAAAATAGTTCAATTAATTATTAAAAACAAAGAAAATTGTCTTCCTAATATCTAGATGGCCGCGGTTCTGCACAGCACTCTAATTAGAGATTCTATTAGTTCATCCAAAATTTCTCTAGCAGATTTTAGGCTGAGTTCTCCAAAAAGTACTGTATAGATCCAAAATTATTTTTCATGAAGGATTTATATGGCATATTCAGATGAAAACTCAAGTTCTTTGGATGTATCAAGGAATAGAATCAGTACTCTTAAACATTTATCTTAAAATTCTCTACCTACTATAGTTTATATACTTAAGTTCTCTTCTGAATCTTCTCTAGGATAACAGTATTTATATTTCATGTATTTTCTTAAGCATAATTACGATGCTGCTCATCTCAGGAGACACTATCTGTTTCTCTCAAGGAAGTGATTCACGAGCTAAGAGCAGCGCTGGGCCACAGTGGTGTTCAATGAGGGGAAAAGCAGCATTTTCTACCCTCAGAAAAAAAGATTAAGGAACAAAATTAGCAAGCCATTAAGAGGAGTTAGCTGCATTGCATATTATCTTGAGCCTTATGTGATGTATCGAAAACATTTTATTTAAATTTTAAAATCTGAGTCTATCTGTCTTTTTCCTCCTCACTCCCCAAATGTACTATGAAAGGATTCTGGGCAGGAAATCATCCAATGTAGCCGTTCTTCTTTCTACTTTATGACAAGATATCATGTGAATTTTAGCACCTGTATTATTTACAAAGGCCTCTAAAACAGTATTTTAGAAAACAAATGATTTACATCTAACCTAAACTCTTAAATGACAGTGCCAGTCCAGGCCCCATACTCCTGAAGGCAGCCACGCCACTCTGCAAGAGAGCGAGTCCCCTCATTTATTCATGGATTTAGTTACTTGTCAAGCTGTCTGCTATCTCTGTGCCTTTAAACTTGTGCTGTCTTGCAGCTTGGCACTGTACATCCCGAACTGGACCTAACGTTCAGTAACAGTTGGATCTGTGCTTAGCCCACAGTAACTGTTTATAATTAGCTTATTTCTACCCTGTTCACAAAGTCTTTTTTCTGGAACTCTCAAAGAGCCAGTCCACTTGTCCTTTTCCCAAGTTCAAGCCTTTTGTTTTTCTTACTTCTGTTTACACTATGCTTAGTGCTAGCATACTTTACCTGGGTTTGACCTTAATGTCTATGGGTATCTGCCAGGCTGTAGAGATCTTTGTAGGTCCTAGAGGTTCTCTCCTCTCTAGAGGGACTCCTTGGGGACCCTTCCGACCACTGCTCTGACTCTAATCATGGCATCTCCTGCCCCTCCTCTCACCTGGGTGCTGGACGGTCGGTCGTTCCAACCTTGTGGAGAACGCCTCTGCTTAAGGGTCCAGGGCCACTTCAACCCCAACATGTCAGCATGATACAGTACAAAGAACGCTGGCTAGGGACCTGGACATTGCCTCAGATCCCAGCTCTGCCCTGAACTAGTAAACTTGGGCAACCCAGCCAACTTCTCCAAGCCTCAGCACGCTCATCTGTGAACTGAAGGGGTTGATTTCTGTGGCTCCAAAAGCTCTCTCATCTCTGAAAAGGTGCTCCTAGAAAAGCAGCCTTGAAGGCTTTCTTTTTCTCTATTCAGTGTTTCAATTCACAAGTCCTGTTGTTTCCACTTCTGAGGAGTCTTTAAGACCCACTCTCCGTTTTCCTATTGGCACTGACAGTCCAGAACATTTTCTCCTCACTTCATGATTGGATTATCGCAAAAGCCACCTGAAATCTTACATTTCCATTGCAGCAAGGTGGAATAAGCGGCAATCCCCACAGCACACCAAGCTACTGAACGTCTCTGACCTTCCTCTTAGCTCTTTTCGCCCTCCCTTCGAGCCCCTTTCCATTGTCTTCCCCTAGTTAAGTCCCAGAAGTCTCTGCTTAGATAACACCTTCCCTGGGGGACTCCCACAAGCCCCTGGCTGACTGTGCTGCTCCTCTCCCTACCACACATGGCCAAACACAGCCAAACGGTATTATAATGAGCTATATGTTGGCAGGTGTGCGACCCTCAGCCCAGCCCACACACTCCAAGAGGGCGGGGACCACATCTTTCATCTTTCTTGTCTAATTAGAGCGGATCACGGTGCCTCCCGCAGTTAACGCCTAATGCATTTTCATTCTCTAGCCTTCCAAAGTCTCTACGTCCTAGCTCAGAGCAAGACCTTCAGTCACCCCTAAAGTCATTTCTGACTGCTCCTGCTCACAACGCTCTCTCCCTGTTCTCAACTCCTATTTATAGCCAGTGCCATAGGAATGTGGTTCCTAATTAGTCCATTGTTATCATGTATAATTTAAAATCTTCCCTGAGAGAAGTTTCTCAAGGGCAAGCACCCTAACTCAGACTCTTCTGAGTGCCTGAGAATACCCAGCACACGAAGCCGTCCCACGTCTCAAGAACGGCCCCCACCAGCAGCAACAACTAAAATCTGTTCAACACTTACTCTGTGCTGAGCACTGGCCATGGTGCTTCATACACTGTCTTTAATCCTCACAACACTCAGGTGAGGAATCTGAGGCACACAGAGATTGTATCACTTTCCCAAGTTCATAGTTTGAAGCACATTGCAGAACTGGGATACAAACCTGGGTCTGCCTGGCTTCCCAGCGGAGCTCTTAGCTACTTTGCTACACCAATCCCCTCTCTCCAGCACTCATCTTGCTAAGCCTTCCATGACATTTTCCATCTGTATTTTCTGGAGTTCTTACACACGCTGATGAACCTATTTTCATAGCCTCGAAAAGGGGAGGACTTTCCCTACATGAAACTCTTCCCCTTCTGACAATGGCTTTTCTCCACCTTCATTTCTTTGATGCAGGTGAATGTTTAATATTACAAAACTAAAATTAAAAAAACACACACCCCAAACTGTGTTCTGTTGCAAGAATGCTGCTGCTTTTAAACAGGTCAGTGTCAGTTCTAGAGTCTGAAGATCAATAAGGTGGAGGAAGTATTATGCTAAAAACACTGCCTTGGGATTTAAAAACAATCCAAAGACTAAATATTAACATTTACCCCGGTCTCCTGTTAAATTTCTCTCTAGTTGTAGATAAATTTAAAACTTTTCAATTCAGTTAAGATACTGAATAAGGTCTTAGCAAAGGGTTGATTTAAGCAAAAAGTAGTTTGGAGGATTAGAGAAAAATCCCCATAAATTCTCACTGAATTTTGAAAAAATTAAAAATTAACCCATACAGCCAATTCTGTACAAATCAAAATAGGATGCACTCAACAAAATATGCCAGAAAGAAACATTTAAGGAAACAGGTTTCTGAAAACAAGCTTTTTGAGTTCTGAGTACTCAACAATTAGCTTAAATACTTCAATCATTTTGAACCGATTAGTCCTTCAAGTGTTGCTTCCCTAAATGCATCCTTTCAAGCAAATATAGCCTCTTCCAGTAACGAAAATTGCAGACTGATCCTATTTTCCCCTGCACCACCTTCCCATGGTGAGCCAACAGATCGGGTCACCGCCCTCAGCTGTACCTGGGGTGACAAGAGCTGTAGGCTGTTGGCTCTGGCCGCCATCCCTTGCCCTACGCTCAAGCTTCCGTCCAAGCCTTTGGCTCTCACTTTGTCCCGGGTCACATACATGGAATGTCTATGTGGGCGCTGCTGGGAGGAAAAGGGGCTGGTGTAGCCCAGCCCATAAGAAAAGGATTCATGAGGTGCAGACAGCGAATGAGAATGGCTGCTGTCCACGTGCTCTGGCAACTTCAACTCATCCATCGTTTTTGAATGCCTGGCTGTGGTTCGGCGTGAGTCCAGAGTGCCCTCGCTTCGGTTATTTCTCCCCGAGGGGCTGAGCAAAGTTCTCGTGTCGCTGTGCCTGGTGGGAGTCGGGCTGGTCGGAGAGTTCAGGTCCAAGCAACTGGATGGGAAGTACCTACTGGTATTGGACTCTGAAATTTGGGCTCTGGATTCAGAAAGGTTGCTCACAGACTTGGAGTCACTCAATGCCCCATGGCTTTTGGCCTTGGTCCGGTAGGACGGACTCCTAGAGGACTGGGGAATGGTGTCAATATAGCTGTGTCGACTCTGCTTTTCAGTGGGCTGCAGGGTCCCGGCTTTGCTCTGAGAGCTTTCCATAAACGAGTGGCGGTTCTGCTGGGATCTGCTGTTCGACTTGAGGTACTTCGTGCCCGGGCCTTCCGAAGGCTTTGGGTCAATGTTGAAATCAAACTCTGACTTTGACTTGGCTTCTTTTGGGCTGAGAAGGTGTGGTATGTTGTTGTTGGTAAGATCTTTGCTGGTAGAGCCGGGCTGGCTGCTTGCTTGGTAGGTTTTGGTGTGCATAGGACTAAGAGTAGCTCCAGCAAGGTTTCCGTTTAGGAAGCTTTCGTTGGCAGGTAGGCCTTCGTCAGCTCGAGGCAGACCCACACTTAGGTTCTGGATGTCCTTGCTGTTAGATCTGTGGTGAGACTGCAAAGCAGCACTTTTGCTGGCTTGGTTTCTATGTCAAAAACAATCCAAAAAAGAAGTATATCAGTTTTCCTCAATAGCAGACACACAAAAAGTATCATTTAAAAAAAAAAGAACGAATACCTAAAACACCTCAAAGACTAAAAACATTAAGTCTCTCAAACTAGGGTCAACAAACAACAAGTAACCATAAGCAGTAAGTGCCTTAGATCAAGTCACTCCGCAACAGAGCGCTGGTCCTGATGAAATGATTTGGACATCCTTAAAAGCTCAGCTAACTGGCTGCCAATAGTTTCTAACTGATAATCTGGGAAAAATGCTTTTCTTATATTGCTGCTCACATGAGTGTTGCTTATAAAACACCTGCTAAGAAGAAGAGACTTAAGCTATAGATAAACTCTTTATGACTCTTGTCTGCTGAAATGTCAGAAGGCAACATTTACACTTGAAGGTCACTGTGCTCGGTGAACTTTGTTTTTATTTGTCAAACTCAAGGCCTGCCTCAGAGGGACATACTCAGAGCATAAACACACAGACACCAGTGTCTCTTTTGTCCTTAGCCTGTATCATCAAAGAAGGAAAATTCTAGGAATCTACTCAATAAGAGAAAATGAGACTATAAAAAGAAATGTAGACTGCCTGGTGAGGTTTGTTGGTGAACATGATGACCAATGTTTATATTTCAGAGAAGTGGTAATCATTGGGGTACATCAGATACCTCCCTGTACGTTCAACAGAAGTAACTGGACCACAGGGATCTAAAGAGTTTACATCTCTCCAAAAGACATAATTTATTCTCTTCTTCATTTCACACGTCATTATTCCAAACTGACTGAGGCCGTCTTTTGGATTCAAAACTTCATTTCCTACTTGGTTTAAAATATAAAATATAACTCTAGAGGAAAACCTTGTCCTCTACTTGAAAGCTGAAACTGACATTGCAGCAAGATCAATTTGGTCTACTGTAATTATTTAAATGATGAAATTGTACTTTGAGATAGGTAAGAATGCTTTGAAGTAAAAAATAATTCCTGTTTTCCTGCCTTCAGAAAGCTTAGCTGCAAATATTGTTATTGCTAAAGATGGTTTGATTTGGGAGAGTTCGGTTCCCACACTAATTGGCAGGACTGTCACATTTTCCCCCCTGGAAATGGTAACCTGAAACCATGCCTTCCCATTTCCCTGAGAACCCACTTGCTCAGGCATCAAAGGTAAGGGTCCTTTTCCCCTCCCTCCCTTTCAGAGTGTTGGAGTATCTGGTATCAAGCAAGCCTGTACTAGTGTGGAAGGCCCCATTCCCTAAATGTACTCACTAATCTCTCACAGTCAGGTCACAAGAATTCCAGCATAAAATGTCACTTAAATACAAACTAACTAAATGGCAGATCCCAGACCTAGAAAGAAATTACAAGGAAAGGCAAGTTTCGCTTTCTGTTAAATAATGTCAACAGAGTTTATCCCCTGGTCAATAAGGGACTGTTCCCAGAGTCGTCTGTCAATTTATACTTCAGTAACTAGAGTATCTTAGCCACTTTTCAAAACCCCAAATGACGATAGACAGATAATCTCACCCATAAATGCATATGATTCAATGTGTTGGTTATTCTCCATCTGCCCAACTCTCAACCCATTCTCCACTCCTCTCTGCCCCGTCCTGGGCCTCAGGAGCGCAACGCTGTAGATTGTGTCACTCAGGCTCCCTTGCTGTCTAACTCCCAGGTGGACTTAGCAGTGCAAGGGCCTGGGGCCTGTCTTCCCTGCTCCTTTCCGGCATCAGCACCCTGACTCAGATCGTAGCTGTGTCCCTCCAGACTACAGCTCCCACAGGGTGGCTCCTTTCGCCTGGCTTCCCTGGGTTCTCATAACCCTATTTTCCTCCCCTTTCTCCTCCAGGCCTAGAAAGAGTAATAGCAGGTATAACACACACAGACAGCGTGAAATGTCTGAAGCTCCAGCCAGGAAAGGATAGAGAAAAGTGAAGAAGGCTGCTACAGTTTTGAAACTCTTGGAAATATTGCTTTCAATGTGGAGCATGAACCCACACTCGAGGAAGAACATACTGTTAACAATGTAAGATACAATTTCTAATGTGAAAATGGAGACTATAAAGTTAGTTAAGGTAGAAACATTTGTCAGAGTTAGGTTTACCATAAATGTACTAAGAGTCTAAACTGCTATCCTGAAAGTCTCTGCCTTGGTATGAATCTGAAGGCATTGAGCTTTGCACATAATTCCTATGCAGGAAGGGCATCAAACTGTCTTCATTGGAGCCCTGCCAAAGCACAACAATAAAAAAAAAAAAAAAA